AGGGTTACGAGAATGGTGGCTGGGATGGAGGAGTTGTCATATGAGGAGAGGCTGAAATTTCTCAAATTGTTTTTTCTTGAAAAAAGAAGAGTTGGGGGGGGGGTCTGATAGAGGTGTTTAAGATTGTAAAGGGAATTGATAGTGTTGATGCATCATCTTTTTTCATACTTAACAGTGAGAATAGTAGGACTATGGGACACAAATATAAATTTTGGCAGGATAGGAGACATCTTCAGATAAAACAGTTTTATTTTCATAACAGGGTGGTTGATCTTTGGAATGGGTTACCTTTGGATATTGTAGAGGCAGTAAATTTAAGTGAGTCTAAGAGAAATCTCGATAAGTATATAAATGACAAGGGCTGGCTTTAAGATTTTTTAAAATTCATTTGTTACTAGTTTTAATTTAGTTTAGAGGTTGTAGCATCCGAGATGGACCAATAGGTCCAATGCTGTCTCAAAATGCTATGTTAGTTACTTTTGAGACAGTATTTATTTGTTTTATTATTTGTTAGTGTAACACCCTTTCATGTGTGATGTTTTGTCCATGAATTTTATTTCACTGTTAATATTATGGCTTCATATTGGCTGGCTCAACTTTGAAGTCCTCTCTTTTATCAGGTTTTTATCACTGGTGCATGGTGCAAAAACATTTTCAGTAGTTGAAGTGTTTTTTGTTTCATCACATTTATATAATAAAAATTGCAATAGGAAAAACTAAATTGAAGAGGGGATATAGCTATTAAAAAAAAATAATGGGGTGAACCCCAACAGTTTACTTTCATGATGAATTAAGATTTATTTTGAAACCTTAAAAATGAGAATGCATTTTTTTCTGATTCGAATAAAAAGTACAGTCATTAAATATATATATATATATATATAATTTTTTGCCTTTTCATATGCCTTCATTATTATTATTATTAATACAAAAATTATCACAATTTGACACTCGGTTCATACATGTTTACAGGCTATTGAGAAAATGGAAACACAATCAAGTATAATATAACATGCTTTAAGTGGGTATAATATAGCTTTTTATTTCAATTATTTTAGCCTTATGCACATGGTTGGGGTTGAAGTGTGCATGACATGACCTTTTACAGAGTGCCATTCAACATAATTTTATATATATGATGTCAGAGTTATGAACTATTCATTTTACCCTATATTTAGCAACAGTTCATGGTAGAGGAGAGTAAATACAGTATGATATATACAGGGTTACTGAAAATATTAGATATGCATCTTGGAAGTTTCAGAGGTTATACAAACTGTATGACTGATGTAAGTATTTATTCTTCACATGAACATAACCTTACGCTTCTGCATGTCCGGGTCAGAGTCAAACTGACATTGTCGATTCACAGACATATCTTGAGTACAGATATCTTTGTAACTCATCTGATATTTTGTGTACAATAGACTTGTACATTTTACTAAAAGCTTGCAACATTATGTGTAATTAATGATTTGCAATTATAGTCAATATTTCTTCTCTAATATGGGTCTAATCCAAGATGTACATTGGGTTACAGTCTTAACTACAGCCAATGATAGTGTAATTACTAAAAGAAGCCAAACTAATTAAGTTGTGAACTTTGTTATTAAAGATATAACATTGTCAGTTCTTGAAATGTCTGCTTTATGTATTAATATTTTTTTCACACAAACTATTTGATTGCTTTGCCATTTAGGTTGAACAAACATTCCACTACCTGGACTTACAAGCTGTAGAGAGTAAAAAGCAAAACCAGGTAAGTAAATGTTTTTTTTTTTACTTTTATGTGACATGTAGTTAAGAGAGTTATATTTTATACATGTTACTATAAAAGATTCACCAAAATATTATGCTGCTTTAACTTGTAATGTGTTGACAAGTTCTATTGGAAAGTTCTTGAAAAAGAATACTGAATGATTTTTAAAATTTTAAATTAATTATTTCATTAAATGGAAATTCTAAAATTCCTCCAAACTTTTTACCATTGGTACCAAAGAAGTACTAGATTAATGGAAGACAGTGATAATGTGATAAAATTCTCTTTCTGGTCAGTTTATGTAGTGTGGTAATATTCTATTATAAACATAATGTTATCAACCAGGGCAGAGTAATACTAGAGTTTACTATATATACACATTATTAACTGGGCAACATTCACTGTTTTTAAAAGTGTTAGTTTTTGTATTAAGACTTTTTAAACTTCCCAATTTTTTCTTAACCAGCTCAGAATTAATGCAGTCATCTTGTTTGTTCTCATTTCCATTTATCAACTGTTTAAGATGTGGAATATTGCTTGAATCTTCGTTAGTAAAAACTGAAGAAAAAGCAAAATCTAATAACCCAGCCATCTCATAATCATCAGATACTAGCCTCCATCCTAACGTTTTGTTTACTCTTAAAGTATTTAAAGAAGTCCTTACTGTTAATTTTCAGCCAACCATTTCTCATACATTCATTTTGATGACCTAATATCCTGTTTCACCAACTTTCTTGATCTTCTAAATCTCCTGTCATACCAGTCAATTGAAATTTCTTAAATTTATGATGCTTTCCTTTAATTTTATATCTTAAACTCTTTGTAAGCCAACCTGGTTTGTACTTGTAGCTACCCTTTTCTTTCTATATGTAATATGTTTACCTTGAATATTTAAAAAAATTTCACATCTGATTAGTGTCCCCAAATAACACAGCTGCCCAATTAATAACAGATAATTCTTGTCACATCCCTTCAAAATTTGCCTTTTCGAAACTTGTAACCAAAATATCCTTATTCCTTATCTCCATATGCAGCAAAACATTGAACCTAATAGAGCATTGATAACCCAGATGTTCCACAATTTACACCCTCTCTATCATTTCTGTATTTGAAGTTAACAATAAATCTAAGATAGTATTGTTTCTAGTAGGTTCCTTGACTAATTAGTGAAGAAAGCCATCATGAACAGTTTCCAAAAACCTTTTTCCTTCATGGTTTGACTCTAAAAATTTCCAAACTATATGCCTGTAATTAAAATCACCCATAATCAGCACATCATTAACAGATGAAATCTTAATCTCATTGTAATGTTTCTCACTAATTTCATCAGTATGATTTGGTGGTCTGTAACAAATTCCTACTAAAAGCCTTTTCCCTTCATATTCACTAATAAAAACCCAAATGGATTCAATATCTTTACTATTATCTTTGATATCCTCAACTTCAATAGGATTAACTTACATTTTATATATAAAGACACTCCCCCCATTTCATACTCTATCCCTATTAAATAGCCTGTAATCTTGTATTTCAAAGAAATTTCTGCCATCCAAATCATCTATGTTTAACTACGTTTCAGTTATTCCCATTATATTAAAATTCCCCATTCCTACCAGTGCTCTAAAGTCACTATTTAATTTCTTATACTTCTAGCATTACAATAATAACAATTAAGCCTACCCTTATAACTACTTCTATACTCAGTTCCTATGCTAAACTTTTCTCTGCCTCATATTCTTTTGCATTTAGTTTTCCTGGTCCTCACCACTATCTAGTCCTAGTTTAAAACTTCCTTTACAGCTGAGTTAATAGCCTTAAAGAAGCCAGCCCCTATCTTATTTGAATGTTAACCATCCATTTGAAAAAGCTCCCTTCTTCCACTGAACTGATATCACAAGTCCAACCATCCAATCTGCTCATCCTTACATACTAACCTAAGCCTAGCATTTAGCCCTAGTGACCTACTTATAACTTCATCCCACAGTTAATTCTGGGCAGTATCCCTGACAAAAGTAAGTTATGGTCTTTTTCTTAAAATGCCTTTATCAACCCCCTGTACTTATTAATTAGCTCCTCTGAAATACCCTTCCCTACATCATTAGCCCCTAAAGTACCACAAAAACTGCATCTCTGCAAGCCCCTTTATTATTTCTCCTGCTCTGTCAGTTATATCCTCCACCTGTGCCCCTGGGTTGCATAATCTGATTCGTTTCTCCTATTTACCCCACAGACTATCCTATTTATATGCCTTGTCAAGGAATCGTCTCTTACTATATCCTCCTTAAGTTTATTATTCACATCCTTTTCTGTCTGCCGGAGCCAATAGAAGTTGCTCAGTAGAATAGGCTCATTGCAATTAAATCCACTACTTTTAGCCCTAATAATACTCTTTCTAACTTCCTGAAAGTCATTCTCAGCTGATGTATCTCTTACATGTAAAAGCTAAAGCTCCTCCTGAAATCCTCCTGCCATTTTCCACAGTCTACACTTCTCTTTTTCTATTGCACCTACTTTAATCATGATTGCTTCCAAATTCTTCTCCAACCTACAAACAAGTTGCACATCTTCATTACTAGCTAAAAGTACATGCCAGTCCCGAGTTCCCAAATAAAACCCACACATTATGCTTAACTCCTACACTAATCTTAACCATTGTATTTATACTTACAGCCTGAAAATAAATACTCAATACCAAATACCAGTAGCCTATTGTTAACACTGTTACTATTAAGCCTAATGTTTAAGAACCAATTATATTATTTTTTTATCACTACTTTGTCTTCACACTAAAGTAATAGTTTATTTTTAATTATATAGAACTTAATAATTTATTAGAACAATATACATAACGTTAATGATAATTTATATAGGCTGATTTATGTTATAACCTACCTATATCTATAAGATGAATTTAAACTAATGGATCTCAGTTCAAGTAAACAAGTTAATTCTTAAAACACCAAGTGACAGTAAACTAGTTTTTAAATTGTACTTATTTAATAAAATAATGTAATTGTCCTGTTTTACGATTTACCAGTAACTTGAAATATACCTTAGCCCTAAGTACTGTTACACGTACTAAGCCTATTTTAATGTTGTAGTAATAATTTACACCACTAAACTTTAACTTAAAACTTTGACCGTCTTACTTTTATTTACCAATCTTATTATATCTAGTTATTATTGTGTTATTTAACCCAAATTACTACATATTGTAATAATAATAATATTAAATAACTTTCAGAAATGTACAAGAGCTTAACTTTTCAACATCTTCCCTCTTCAGTTGCACCCTCTATCATCTGGTGACTTGTTGTTGGCTGCTATAAGCTCATCACAATCATTATGACAAATAAAATGTTAACATTATGGAAGATGATAAATTCACATTAGGTAGAGTTACTCAGGCAACAAAGATAAAGAATATATGTATACATATATCTAGTTTATCAGACCAGTAATGTCTTTTGTTAAACTTAGATGTGTGTGTGTGTTATTTTGCAAGATTTCTATTAGGTAGTCAAGAAATTAATTTTTTTAGATGAAAAAACCCAAACAACTTATATTTCAAAACAGTTATTAAATGAAATAGTCTCCATTCTTATCGATGATGCTTTTCCATCTTACAATCAGGTTGTTAATGCCCTGATTAAAGAAATCACTTGGCTTTGAAGAAAAAACATGTCAATGTCCTCTTTAATACCTTCCACATTTGCATACGTTTTCCCATTAAGATGGTGGTGCCATATCTGGATAATATAGTGGGTGGAGGAGAACTTCCCAACCCAATTCCATAATTTTGTGTTGCGTCAAACGTGCCACATGTGAACGTGCATTGTCGTGGAGAAGAAGAAGAACACCTTTCCGATTGACGAGTGAAGGACGTTTCTGATGAAGGGCTTGATTTAAACGTTCCAGTTGCTGACTATAGTTGTCTGCATTGACGGTTCGCTGTAGATTGAGGAGTTTGAAATTAATTACTCCTTTGATGTCCCACCAAATGCAAAGCATCACTTTCTGCGGATGAATTCCAGGTTTTGGGGTTGGAAGTGGTTTTTGTATAGTATTTAGCCATTGTTCTTGGTGTTCAATATTCGCATAGAGAATCAATTTTTCATCACCGGTGACAATGCTGTCCAAAAATGGTTCACGCGCATTATGCGCCAGAAGAGACGAAGCAATGTTCACATGTTGGAAACGGTGATCATCGGGGAGTTCGTGAGGCATCCAAACACCTTCTTTATGGAGTTTTCTCATATTCCTTAAATGTTTACGTATTGTTTCATTAGAGACATACAATTTCAGGGCCATTTCATGAGTGTGTTGCCTTGGGTTAGACTCAACAAGCGTCTTCAGAGCATCAATATCAATTCCAGCATGTTGGCCCCTGCCATCACAGTTTTAAGGCTAAAGTCACCTGAACGAAATTTGCTGAACCATTGTTGACACCTACGAACATTCAAAACATTTCCATAAATTTCTTTGATATTCTTTGTGGCTTCAGAGGTGCTGTTTCCCTTTTTTGTATTCAAACGGCATCACATGCCAAATGTGTGTCTCGTCGTGTGCCATTACTATAAGGGATTAAAGTATACTAAACTTTACACATTATATAGGTGACACTAACATGATATTTAGGTGGTTCATTTAACTAATATAAGTGATGTACATTTTTTGGGGGGTGGTTAATGAAAGTGTTTCAAAATGTGACATTAATTTCTTGATGACCTAATATTTGTAGGTGGAGGTTTTATATTGTTTGTTGGTAGATAGAGGTTTAAACGAAAGATATTCAATTACTCTTGTTAAAATATATTTATGCCTGGCTGATAAAACAGAATATAAAAAGCCTTTAAGCAATATTATTTTCCTGACATCAGCTTGAAGTTTTCAGGGTTTTCTTTAAAAGACTCTATTTTCTTTTTTAAATAGCATCCTTTTGGGAAAAACCTAGTTTTGACATTGTTGTATTGTAGCAGATAAACTACTATTATGTATGTTATTAATTGGAGTCAAATATATTAAAATATATTTATTAAAACTTAACTAAAAGTTTTTTTCAAAGAACAATGAAACATGTTCAATCACTGTCATGATTAGTGGCCTATACAATCATCTGAGTATTATTGTGAATTTGCAACTTTTTTATTATTATAAATAGGTACAAATTATAAACTAATTTTAATAGTACGTACTGGCTGCTAATCTGCTGTTGGCTTTAAGGAAGTACTGAGAAAGCCTATTTTCTGTCTTGGTAGTGGCCAAGATTTGATGAATTATCCACTTGATTGGGGTCTACCCCAGTAGAACTTAAATCAACTATTTGTATATTTTTCAAGAGGGTATCCAGATTTTACTGACTTTTGTGCTAAGTTAACTGAGTGTATTATGGGTTAGGTGAATGTAGAAGATTACTTTTATCTTTCATTTTCTCCCCTGTTATTCATGTTCTGTTATTTCAATTTATTGGATGGTGGTCTTCTCTGGCATGACGGTACATTATAGCTAGATCATTATTACAGAGTCTTGTGTGTCCACTGTGCTCCTGAATTTTATCATATTTGATCTTTTTGTTTCTCAAATGTATTGGTATCCACATTCACAGGGGATATTATAAATGGTGTTTCTCTTCTTCCTTGGGTATCTAGGTGGTTTGGTGTAACTAATTGTGATCATATTATATTCAGTTGTTTCCTTGACAAAAGATTCTATAAATTGTGACCATTGTATTTATTATAGACATAAGATTGAATAAGTAAATAAACTGCTTTCTTTGCGAGAGTTTCAAATTGGTATTGTAGATCACAATTTAATAAAAAAACTGATGCAAATTCTCACTTTTCTGCACAGGATTTGATGAGTGTACTTCATTAGAAAACAAAAGAAGACTGTATAAACAATGTAAAACAACTGTATCATTCTTCCTACAGATTTCTTTGTTTGTAGAAAACAGAGCTTACACTTTCTATACATTGAGTTCTGACTCCGAAGATGTTGACTTGATGATCAGTCAGATTGGTACTGCTGTAAAGACTATATTTCCCCAAGTGCCTTTGGAGTAAGTATTGCTTGCAAATGCAATTTCAGTGTAGTATTTTCTTATTTAAAGCAAGCTAGACATTTGCTTATTGGCTTTGTGTGTGTAATATTTTAGTTAATTGTTATTTGTAACCCCAACCCCATGCATATTCAACTTACGAGTTGCATCAATTAATATTCAGGACAGAACAGAAAAAAAGCAATGCTAATGAAAGAGAGAATTGAATATTAACATGTCCCTCAGGAGCCAAGGGGTGTCTTTACACTACAATTTGTTGAATATTAAAAGTAAGTTCAATCCAGAAACTACCAAAGAGAGTGGTTTTGGATGCATCTTTTCAAGACAAGTTTTTGTTTATTAATTTATAAATTTTTTAAAGTGAAATACAGCATCCTCAAGTCTCCAAAGTAGCTAGTACTAAGGTCTACCCACTGGGAGTAATTTCAGTAGATATCAATAAAGCCACTTTCTAAGTATTATTATTTAAGCAATTGCCAACCTTTTATGCTTCTACTATCACCTTTTTACATTTAGGTTTTAATTGAGATACGGATGATTTCACCTGCGATTTGGTAGAGAAGGTTGAAGCATCACAATAGTCAGCAGTAGGATGAGCAGACAGAAATACTTTGAAAACTGCAACAACAAAAAAGCTACCTAGCACATGGGGTTGTTATTAATAACTTAAACAATTTTTGTGATTACGTACATTGTTATTTTTTCATTAGTTTCATCATCCGGAGAATGGAAGTTGTTCCTGAAAACCGACTTCAAGGAATGACTGATTACAATCAGAGCCTGGAAGCGAAAGACCCAGGTCCTTGTGGTGGATTTTCAACACAATATGCTTGTATGTGTAATTATCATGGGCTTCCATACCGTGAAGAAGTTGCATGGGTAAATCCTTCAGTCATATATATGCTAAATGTTTTAGAAAAAATACAAAATATTAAACTGTTATTCTTCTTTTATGCTTTATTTCCCAAGTCTGAATTAAACATTCAATAGATAATAGGGATTACATGAATGTTAGCCCTTTGTGTGTGTGTATGCATGTCAGTACTTCCAGTCTGAAAATGTGCCAAAAAATAGAATCTGATGCTTTTTTTTTCAGAATTCAAAACTAGAAAATAAATAAAACAGTACATATTAAACTTTTAGCACACTTGCACTAATTCCAAAATCATTCTTGCTGAATTTAAGTATTCAAGACATCATGCTTTATGTTTTGTTCCCCCATCACCTCCGTTGAGATGAGATTTTTTATATGAGATCTGAGGGAGTATATTTTAAATGAAGTAACTCTTATAGGTAAATGTTTTAACCTAAGGTTTATCGCAACTTTTTCTTATAAAAATGATATAAACATTAAAAACAAATTTTTTCTTATTATTGTAATCTTTATTAGCATTTTAATTATCAATTCAAATGAAAAACCCTATTTATTTTGCAAAAATAAATCAAAACTTGTAGTTTACGTGGAACCATGTTAATCATAGATGTTTTCCCAAATACTGTAATGTATAAACTACATCATGAATAGAAATTAGCCAGTATGATTATAATAATTTATTACAGTTCCATGATATTTTTTCATTCGGTACTTAATTGTGTAAATTAGTAGTACAAAAGATTCATTAAAAAAAATTTCTGAGACTTAAATAATGTTGTGGGTGGTATTTGGTTAAACATTATCCAGTTATTAAGATAGAAATATTAAACAACACAGATAAATATGTATTTAGAAATAGTTATTTTGTTTGTATCTCAGCATTAAATATGTTTTTGTTACTAAATAAAAAACATTACTCTCTTTCCGTCTCTAATATATAGATATAATATTGAAGGTATTGTTCAAGCTTTTATACTTACCAACAGCTAATATGGTTGTTTGTATACTCTATTTAAATTACAACAGGTTGTGTTTGTATATATAATAGCACTGTAATGCTTGTATGTAAATGTGGCAGATGGTCTTGCATGACAAAACATTGTTTTAAGGTTTATAAAAGTGAAATATTCATGATTTAACAAATGTACTTAGCTTTGTATGTTTAAAATATAGCATTTCATGGCAGAGGTTTAAATAGAAAGACTTGTTTTTTATATCCGAGTATTTTGTATTACAGGATGTGGACACAATCTATTTGTCTCATGATAGTAAAGAGTTATCACTTTTAGACTTTGACCATTTAGATGGAAGGTATACTTTTTTCCTTTATTTATATATTCTGTTTTGTACTGAAAGATTTTTATAAAATAAAAGCAAATATTATTTGCATTTGAAACAAACTTCTGCAAAACCATACTAATTGTGCACGGTAACTGATTAATATTTTTTATACATTGGTGCATCATTATTTCTAGAACTGATTTTGTGTTGCTTTCTGTAGTGTGGCAGTGATCAGTTTACTTAATTGCATCATGACATTGAGTTATTCAACTGCAAATCTATAATTATATTTTATGGTTTATCTACATATTTGTAAGATATGTTGGAGAAAAAAAAGTGCACTAAACATTATACTCAATTTGTTTTTGGTTAAATTTGTATACATTAGTCCTCAAAAATTGTGTTTGTAGCTTGTAAACATTGTTTATGTTGTTGAGCTTAACATTTGAACTTGTTTTGCCCCATTATTAGTAAAATTTGGTACAGTACAACTAAAAACTCAACAATTCAAAAATATTGTGAAAGCTAAGTTTGACAGTTAACCAGACTTGGCCAGATATTTTATATTCTGCTGTGAAAAACAGTACATAATTTTAAAAAAATACGACCATACATGTATTTATAATTTTTAATTGTTATATGTGCTCTAACATTATGGAATATAACTTTTTTTTAATGTTAAGGGTTATTTTGGCAGTTTATCTTTGTAAGCAAACATAAACAAGTATGCCGTTGTAGTGTACCATGAGAAAAATGGATGCTTTTGTTCTTTTAGCTCCTAGATTTTGACAAAAAATATAATCTCTTCATATTTATGTACACATTTATCCTCAGTAAAAAGCTTTGTTTTCTGGAAAGTTCAACAAGACACATCAGCAGTTTCACAAGACACATAAGTGTCTGGTGGTGAGAGGATTTTTGAAATTTCTAAGATCTATTTAGTGCAATTCCCAATTTTTCTAACAATAAAACTTGTTCTTCTGTAGCTTGATATACAATGAAATATTTCTGAGTTTATTACTTAAATGTAACACTAAGATTAGTGTCAAAATTTGTTTAATTAAAGAACTAACCTTTTGACATGTAACAAATGATTTAAGTTGACATCCAGCAGTTAAGTTTTACATGTATGTAGCATCAAAATATGTCTGTCTATTAGCTTGGACAATCATGTGTATTTTGATCTGAAATATATATGTTGTAAGTCTTGTGCTTATTTATCATAACAGGAGTTGTTGTGAAATTTTATGGTATCTTGTGTTTTTTAAAACATACTTCCTATTTTTATTATTACAGAGATTTAGTGCCAATCATTTCAGCTCTAGGATACAATGCATGGTTCACAAAGTTCAGAGCCAGCAATATTAAATTGGTAGGTTTTTGGTTTAGTTTTTTCATTTCTCTGATTTTTTTTGTTGATAAATGTTGAAAGCAGTCTAGAATAAAGTTTAAATCGACACAAATGGAACAATACCAAATTTAAATAGAAACTAGTTTTGACATTTCACATGTCTTTTTCCAAAGTTTGCTTGTGGGAGGAACATACACACACACACACACTGTTTATTTTGAAACAGTAGTTCCAATTCCTTGAATAGCATATGAAATCAGAATTGGGTTTAACTTAAAGTGACCTTCAGATGTGTTGAAGTTTGGCAACTTTGAGTAACAAAATTTCCAGAATTCTTCTTTTGACATAATTTGTAGTTCTATGTATTATCTTGGCTGATTCCCAGCTTATTTTATGATCAAATTCTCTTATGTATAGAAAAATTGAATTATTTGTTTGACCATTTTTGACATCCTTTTTGTGTTTTGCGAGTCTGGTATCTAAATTTCTACTAATCTGTAAAAAGTTTGTTGGTAATGTAATAATTATTTATCAAGTCTAAATATCATTAAAAAAATGTATGATATAGAGATTTTTCATCAACTTGGTCTTTTTCTCAGGATGTTTTGACTAAATAATTTTATGTATATTAATGTAGAGTATATTGTTTATTATAAAACCTAATTGATTGAAAAGCCTGTTATTCTCTGTATGTAATATTTTCTTGATAAACCATATTTAATATTTAAAAACAGCTCATTTGTGGTAAGTTGCTACTTCCTTAGAATGTGTTGTGACGTATCTTGTTTAGACATCAGAAGCTCTGGAACAGATTTTACAAGTTATGAAAAAAACTGTATCTATTGAGGAACTCTATCTGGACAACACTGGAATTAAGTGGTAAAAAACTATTAAACTGATAAATGTGAAAAATATGTAACTTTGAAGTTTTACAAAAACTTAAATTGTTTTAGTGATTTAGTAAAGTTACAGTCACCTGTACTCCACAATTGGACTGTACTTTGTTACTTAGAGGAGTCACTATGTGCTAGTATTTTATGATTAAACAAAGCTCATGTGCGTCTGTTTTTTTAATATCTCAACCTCTCTAAATCTCCTATTACTTTAATATTAGAAGTTAAGAAAATAAGTTGGCTTTATTTGTAGATAATGAATTATTTTTATATAGTCAAAACTGTAATTTGTGTATGTATTTTCCCTGTGAAAAACTTTCACTTACAGAGAATTAAAAATTTACAAAAAATGTGTTAAACACTTTTTTTATTAGTGTTTTAAAACTGTAGATGAAGAAACAGTAAAACACTAATACCTGATCTCTTGAAGTTTCGAATTAGCTATATACTTGTAAAAACAATATTTTGTAAAATGATGTGAAGTAGAGAATCCATGTGCTCACAAAACATTTATGTTAAGTTACAAGTTGTAGAAACATTAAAGGAAAAAAAGTGTTGTTAAAGTTTTCAATCAGGAGATGAAATCTGATAATGATGGATTGGTTTGTTAAACCTAAGAAAATAGTTTAACACAGCAATATGTAACACAAATTAATGTTCTAAATACAGAATATGATATAGCAATGAGATTAACAGTTTTTAAAGTGTAACTTTTTTTATTTATCGTAAACTAAAACATTGTACTGGAAATAATTTTTGGGCAAGCCTTGAAATTTGAAGATTTGTTTAAAATGTCAGAAGACCTTAAAAAATAAAAAATAATTTTTTAACCTATTCAGTTTGCAGCTATTCCACTTTCCAATGACTGTAAATAATGAGACTATTATAAAAATACTTTCCTTCACTTTCCTGTAGGGATTTTGCTCACAAGTTGTCAATGGCATTGATTTCCAATCCACATACCCCTCTCCACACCCTTGACTTGTCAAATAACTTAATAGAAGACAAAGGTATGATATATTCTTTGTCTAGATGTTGGATTTAACTATTTTTTCTAATACCAGTTGTTCTATCTTTTATTTATGTGTCTTAAACTCACATTGTTAGTTTTATGTGCATTGCATGGTTCTGTGTGTTTACTAAGCGTGGACAGACTAAAAAATGCTCGATTAATATGACACATAGTTGGGAGTATATGACACATGAGGATAGTGTTTTCAATAGTATAGTAATATATTAACCTACATAGAATAAGTGTTTTCAATGAAATGCTATGAAAGAGATCTCTGACCAGTCTTCACCATCTTGTGAAACAGATGTTATATTTTTCTTTTTAGTTTTCCAGATTTTACAATATTAAACATCTAAAATAATATATAAATATATTTCAATGGCAAATTTTACTTGAACATTCCATTTACCATTTATTATTGTATAACCACATTTTTTTATTGTTAATTTTATTCTTTCTCTCTATGTTATCAAAAACTGAATGAAGTACACCCACCACCACTGTCATCTCACAAATATTTTTGAAAGGTTCAACATTCAGTGGCAAGCCTTTAATATTATAGTCCTGATACATTTGGTCGCTCAAAACCAGAGATTAGAATAGTGTGTGCTGAAACAACTGCATTCTTTCAACAGGATATGTAAAACCTGCACACATTACTATTGACTTGTCCCCTTGTGGGCAATAAGTTGGTGGACATATAGCACCAAATTCTGGGTCCCAATTTTCCATGGTAGCTAGAGATCAGATAGCCCATTGTTTAGCTTTGCACTAAAACAGCAACAACTATTAAATGATATGTAAATTTTTAGAATTGCAATGAGGTGTAATTTTCCACTCTGTATTAAGTGTTTGCCCATCTTTTAATTATTCAGTGTAGTATTCCTAAAACCAGTAATTGAATGTTACTGTTTTACTTTTAAAATACACTGGAGTTATTAATTAAATTCATTTTTTATTTTGTTATTAACAACACAAAATTAATTTGTCAGTATATGCATAGAAGATAAATAGTTTTGCATGAAAAAGCTATACTGAAACACACATTAAAGATGCTTTGCTTTGAAAGACATTTTTTCTCAGTATTATGTTACCAATGGTTAGAACTAAAAATTTTGAAAGCAGCTAATCCTTTCTCTACCAGGTGTTACTGTTGTCTAATTAAAATTATGGATATGAAAGTAAGCAACTCTTCCAAGGAAATCACATGATAGGGAAAAAGTTAACAGTAACACTTTGAGCCATAAAAATCTAACATTGTAATTAAATTTTCAGGAATTTAGTTTTTTAATAGATTATAGAGTTAAATGTATCATTTAAAAGATTAAGTACATTTAACAATTAAATTAATGTAGAAAAGTTCCTACTAAGCTGTATAAATGCTACTCCTCATAATAAAGTTATTCACATTGAGCTCTTTAGGTTGAACACACACTTACGTGTATAAGATGTAAAGGAACAACATGAGTCTCATTCTTACATCAGTAAAGAAAGAATGTGGCAAGACTTGTACCTTAGATGTGCTACAATAAAAAAAAAACATTCTGCTTAATTTACTTCAATTCCCTGAAAGATATCAGAATATTGAAGATAAATTTAAAACCTATGTTTAGATGCACATAAAACTAATATTAGGCTTGTACTGTCATCATTTTGAGAATAAAGTGTTGATAATGTATAAAGTATAATTGCATATTTAGGTAGCTTGGATATGTATAGTTTTTGGAAGTGTATTAAAAAATGTTTCAATATACAGAAAAACTAGGACACAGACACAAATTTTAGGAATTGAGCCCTCTTAACTATCTGTTCTTTTAAACATACTGAAACGAGCCAAACCTCATGAGATATCATTGGATTTATGGCCAGAAATATTGTTAACAATGAGGGTACCGAACTGATGAAACAATGCATTATAATCTTTATAAGTAGATACATAAAAAGAGTGTATTTGATTACCTATACTGATAGCCAGGTTGATTTTTAGTTTATCTGAGTAATAGCTTACTCTGATTGGAAGTTATTATTTAAACACACACAGATAAACAAATCTTTGAAATGGAATGCTGTGAAAAATGTTAAGAAGACATATTTATACATGCCTTCACAGGTATTGAGAGTAAGGAAACAGGAACAAATAAAAAATTTTACAAAATACCATCAAGTTGGAGTGCACACACACACACATACATTTTGGTGTAAACTAATTCTTTGTTTTTTTCCTATAGGCATCAGTAGTCTGAGTGGAATCATAGCCAAGCTCACACAAGGTTGGAGATGTATAGTGTAATAACTTTTCTGTTCACTGTGCACCTAAATCCTCCTTGTGTGTGTGATTAATGTACTTTGTTTTCTGCCTTGTAGCTTAGCGTACATGTTTGTACCAGTCACTATCAGTCAGCTAATTATTCTTTTCTGTCAGGTCTTCAGTGATATCTATAGTTCCCATTTTGTATATAATTAACTTAGAAATACTTGTTTCAGAATGATGGTTGTTTTATTAGCAAGATAACATGATTAGTATAATCCAATAAACATTAAGTAACACTATGTATCTTCTGTGAAGACAAATCTGCTTATTTGTAGTTTTGTTTGCATACATTTTACAAATGTCATTTGTGTATGTCTTTATCCTATTGCATTGACTTTTTTTTTGTCCATTATTCTGACTTGCATATTTATTTTCTGGAAATCTTAGTATGTGTAATTGAAAGATTTGTTATTAAATCTTATAACACCAACTTGCATTTTATTATAGCAAGTGAATTCAGTTTGTTACAACTATAACTATCAGTGACGAAAACCACTGGCCATAAATAAGTAATATCTTCAAGTATTCAACCGGTTTTAAAAGTTCTAAAAAGTATCTGCAGAATTATTTGTCTTTTGTTAAATGTAGTTTACAGTTCACCAATAGATTTTTAATTAATGTTGAAGTTGAATGTGGAATTAAAGAGAAACATTCTGAGATGATTTCAAAACTTATGGCTACCATATCAAGCAAACATAAATATGTACTTACACTTGTAAATAAACTTGCATGCATCCAGCTTAACATTGCAGCTCATAATTGTCAGTGATTACAGTATTAAATGTTACTAAATTACATTTTGATATCCACTGGCTAGAATAATGGATGACAGAGGTACAGACACGTATCAGATAACCAGATTATCAATATTATTAAAGTCACAGTTACATGTTAGATGATTGTTTAAAAGTACAGAAATATATAAGTGGTATATCAACACTAAAATAGTTACATACCAGACAGTTGGAATATATCATCAATAATGTACAACCACATGTCAGTTGATTGAAATAATTTGCAGACCCTTTATCATATAATTAAGATATTAACATTAAGGTAAAGTATATAATAGATGAGTGGAATAAAGAAAAATTAAGCTGATAGGCACATAAGAGATGACTGTGGTGTCAACTCTAAAATACAGTTACACAATGGAAGGCTATGGTGTCAACACTTAAGGTATAGTCAAACATTAGATGATATACCATGTAACTAAGACACAGGGTACAGCTATTTGTTAAATAATTTGGATATCAAACGTTCATATGTACATAAATATGTCAAGTAACAAAATCAAATGAAATATTGAACATTACCGATTTAAAACTCTCAAGACTTTGGTTTACTTTTGAAAATGGTTAAAGTTAAGCAGCAGCATTTTGGTACCTGAGGTAGCTCACACATTATTACAAAATTACAGTAACCTTTTTTGTGTCTCCAGATAGCTTAGATTCAGGTATAAATTATTGGTTGCCAACTTATTATTATATTAACATAATGTGCTTCCATACTTAAGGTTCAAGTATTACAGTAATGTTTTTTTATATATAGTTAGAAAGCTTTGATATTACATAAGCTACATTTTGGTAAAGTCAAATAGTTGAGATGCTGTGACATGTTAGTTGTAGTAAGCTATTTTGATAACACCAAGTAGTTGATGATTAGTTGACAAAAGCAGTAAGCCATATTATGGTAACGTCAACCATAGGTATTTAAGATACTAGAAGATGATAAATTATATTTGATAGTTGAATATTAGATGACTGTATGCTGTATTCTGATAGATGTTTCAACAGTTAACTGTGATCTTGCTGACATCAACAGCATCAGATGTATTCTGGTATTATTACTTAACAAGAGTATTGAATGACATTAAGTATTTTCTGGTGCCATCACTTTTAACCATAATATTGCAGCTCATTAAGTTTTTTCCTGGCACTGTCAGCTAACTAGGATATTATACACTATATAAGGACATTTTATTTTATCATTTGACCCCCCTACTTGATAAGTTGTATGTTTTCTATCAGGTGTTGGTCATGTGAGTAATGCTGTTGGCAAACTACAAAAAGGCCTAGTTCACCTTAGCCTTTCCAAGACTGGATTGACGTCTAAAGGAATCAATAACCTTGCACATTCTCTCTCTCTAAATCACTCCATGCCTTCTACACTAACCTACCTCAATCTTAACGATAATGTTTTCAAGGAAGATGTGAATGTAAGTAAATTATGTTGAACACGTTAGCTGATTCATAATTCAATCCAAATTTTTATATTATTTGAGAAACTGTGAGTTTTTTCCTACCTTTGGAAGTTGAGATGAAGGCAATTTATTTTTTAATATCTTTGTATTGTTTAATTTATTGCAGTCAGTTCTCTCTTTGTGTTATAAGAAGTTTTCATTTGCTAATTTTTATTATGTTTTTATGCTTTATTACAATAGTATCAAAAAGATATTCCCTTTTTTTTTAGTTAAACTTACATTTAATTTTAAAGAAATATTTTGAATGGTAGTTTCTGAAAGTTGTTTTTATTTTGTGGAGGAAATAAATGAAATAATAAACACAATTAACAGAGTGAAGGATCATCAGTTTGGTTTTAATTCTATACAACCAAGTTAGTGTAAGGAATGTAGTAAGAAAAGTTAAAAATTATGTTTAATGTCTTTAGTCCCAGCTAGACCAAGAAAAATATTGTTTCCTTGACCTCAGTTACATATACTCAAGTAATATCTAATGGAAATAGGGAAAAATGGTTAAATGTTTTGATTTTAAATGAATCTGTTCAGAGTGGAATGAATTCATATGCTGTTCAAGAACCATAAAATTGTCAAGTTTGTATTGAAATGTTAATTGGACAGGTATTTTTTTAAACCTTTTATCTCAACATGTTTTCTTGTAGAACTTGTACAACTTTCTGGCACAACCAAATTCTCTTATACATTTAGACCTCTCTGGTACAGAATGTGCAATGGACACTGTAAGTTTTATTTATATGCCCATTATTATTGTTATTATATAAAATTTTTGTGTTTAATTTTGTATAGATATTTTCTTATAGTAGTTACATTATCAACCAGTAATAAATATTTTGAGTAAACAGTTTATTTTAGAAAGTAACTTATTTTTTAAACTTTCAAACTCTTAGACAAAACCTTTATCTCCAACTTATTTGTGTGTGTGTGTATATAACTTAACACTTGTCATGCCAACTTGTAACAACTTGCTTCATTCAGAGAAAGATGTCAGTTTTTAATTCCATTTTATACTTCCTGCAAAATTTGCAGTAAAACTATATTCTCTTTCAAGGTCTTGCACTTAAGCTGTTTCCCATTATTTTCTGTTGACAGAAGCACTTGTTAAAACTAGAGATTGATATCAAATTGAAATGTATTACAATTTGTGTTTAGTATTTAAACACAGAAAAATTAACTATACAATGATAAAACACATGCATAATATTAATATATCAGGATGTTTATGTAGAATTTCTGATTATTAGCACCAAGAAATGAGACTGGAAACTAAATAGGAATTTTTTAAAGTGTATCCAGTTACCTTTCAAAGAAAAAACTATTAATAACATGTTTCGTGTTGAACATCAGGAAGTAGTATTGTCTATTTTTGTAATTTGTTCAACTGGTTAAGTTCTATGTTTCTAGGCGAGATGACACTGAATTGTAATTTTTTTTCTAATCATTAAAATTGCATATTACAAATTACGTACCACAGAGTTATGGAGTATTGCTAATGATATGAGTAAGATTTGGATTAATAAAGTTTTTGTACACACATAAATAAAACTTTTCAACTTTATTACCATTGTAACATCAAAGCTCATTTTTCATTTCCTGATACTGTTTCTTACCTGTGCTGGAGTATTAGGATTTTTTATATATTTCGTTGCAGTTTCTAATGTAATTTGAGATATATTTCATATATTAAATTTTTCTGAAGTTGTAAACAATGAGATTCTAAATTTTCACTATATTAAACATAAACATGAATTTAGAATTTTCAAGTCTAAAAGTTAACCTTATAAAAATTAATTGTAAATTTTCACTATTTACACAGTTCTCTCTCAGGAATGCATGTTCATTTTTTGCTTGTTTTGCTAATTTCATAGCCACTGTATGAAATTTTATGAAATGCCATTGATGTTGTGCATATATTATCAGATAAGCAAAAACAGTTAGGAACAAAAATATTTTTTTTATAATAAGATTTAGACTTGTTAACATAATGTGTTTGTTAATCACAAGTGAAACTAAGTAGGTTGATAACCACTTTAATACTTATGCCCTAAAGCAGGGGTTCCCAAACTTTGCCAACCAGCAGACCCACTTCAACTTCTTTACTGTATTTGCAGACCACCTCCTGTTAAAAATAGATTTTATCATGTGTAACTGGGGTATCATATGCATATTTTACTACCATTACAGATTGATTCTGGTTTTAAGGAAAGAATAATGAAAAGAGATTTAAATATGGAAAATTAGAAAAAAATATTACGACTTACTATAATCTGAAGGATGATACTGCTTTGCCGAAGTGTCAATATCTGACAGTTTCAAATGAAGATCTGGCTCTACATTTATCTTATTTCAATACTTCGATTTTATATAAGCAAGTTGAGAGGAACCTCACTCATATAAATAGGTTATAGAAAATGCCATTAAATATTTTACTGCTTTGAATGACAGTTCAGGATAATCACATCTCACGTGTAACCCAAAAAAAAAAAAGTGTCAAGTTAGTTTGGCCAAAAAATTACTTTAGTGAAGCGTCACATCAGAGAACAATAAGGCTATTTTCTTCAACTGCAGTTAAATTTTCAACATATACAATGTCCACATTAAATGGATCTCTGATCCACTTATTATTGGAATCGGGATTCTTGAAACAAATTATAACTCATTACTGACACCAGTAGTAACCATGTAATTATTGTAATAACTATTAATTGTGACACTAATGTATACACTGTAGTGATGCGTCAATCCAACTGGAAATCAATTTTCTTGTTTTTGCAATCGGCAGGCAACAGTGCCAGGCGCACAATGAATTTACATAATTCAGTTTATGTTAATTACAGTTATTAATTTGGGATTTATATATATTACTATATTAGTCTTATAATGTCTTAGCATTTTATTTTATTCATTACTCTTTCAGTAAATGGTAATTTCATAAATTTGATGTACTACTGCGGATCCCGATAAGTACTCTCATGGATTCCCAGGGGGCTGTGGACCACTGTTTGGGAACCTCTGCCCTAAAATATAAAATGTGTCATCATACACAATTAATGAAACTGTTACATACAACATTTCACTTATTAAATGAATAAAGTGTGTGGCTCTAACAATGAAGTATGGAATACATCTAGTCTCTGGAGACAATAATGGTAGCTGCAAAAGGGAGTTTCATCTTATAGGAAAACATTTTCATATTTAGAGATCATACCCTCTTTAAAAAAAAGATTTATATTTTGACAGTTATTTTTTAGAAGTACCTGGTTGTATATAATGAATTACTGTTGAATTCTAGGTTTTTGGAGCTCTTTTGAGAGGATGTACCCAGAAATTAGCTGAATTGAATCTTGCAAGAAACCAGTTTTCAACTAAGAAAACAAAGGATGTGAATGTTCCACCTTCCTTTAAGGCATTTTTTTCCAGCACAGTGGCTCTTCGATTTTTGAACATGTCTGGAAACAAACTACCCCTTGAAGCTTTAAAGTAAGCATCTGATTAATGTGAACCTGAAATAACTGAATTTTGTAATCTGGCATGGTATGGCCTAGTGATTAATATTCAGGGCTGTCTGAGGCTTCATGGTTCACATCCCTTTGCCACAAAAGCATGCTAAGGGCAATGGTCAATAACAAGATTGTTTCCAAATATTAATTTTTTATTACAACATAGCATACTAGGCTATTTTAATATTTTTTGTGTAACTGCTGTTAATGAATTTTTTTATAGTTTCAGGAAGTCACATGGCTCATTTTCCTAGGTCTTCAAAACTTTACCTAGAGGCTGTCACTTTCCACACTCATGATATGAACCTAGTACCTCATTCTATTCAGCACCATTGTTTCTACATATATACACACAAAACAAATATAGATTAGTTGGGATTTTCAGGAATTTGTGGGGTAAAAGTTTATATCATTACTTTTTAACATAATTTGTACCTGTTAAATCTGAAAATGCTTGTTATCAAGCTCAGTTTTGAGTTTATTTGCTTTTATATTACAAAACATAAAATGGCTCCCAAAGAGCAATTTTATGCCATTCGTTTTATGTAGTTGACTGATATGACCTAAAAAATTCTTACGAGAGATGTTGTAGCATTAATGTTACATCCACAGATACCAGGGCATATGTCCTACAAATAGATACCAAACTACCATAATTATTCCATTTTATATAGTGTTTTAGTTAGTGTTTATAACATATACAGAACTACTGATAATGATGCAATACTTTCATTTTATGGGGAATAAAATTTAATGTTTTCTGTGGAACATCCTGTCAGCACAAATGAGGTACCCCAAATATAGTGTGATAATTAAAACTTGTTAATTTAAAAAGGGGAATAGGGATCATCAAAAACGAACAGAAACAAGTTGAATCAAAATGGAAAGTTTATATTTTCAAGCCTACAACTAGGAACTTAAAAAAAAAGTAAACAAACTAGGCTGGAAATAGTGTCTACATTATTTTCTCAAGCTTCAAATCCCTATTTTGACTTCATGTCTACAGTACTTAGTAGTTATATATATATAGCTCTAATACTATCAGTTACATTAACTGTCAATAAGCAATGAAGTCAGCACTATAAAACAATAATATACTTAATATAAAATAGCCATTATAATAGAACAAAAATTATTATTTTTCATTATCAGTCCTTGTTGTCAACATTAAGTTATAACAGATAATGTCTGTGGTCATAGTACCCAAATGCTTTAAGGATATTCCATTTATCAGACAAAATCCAGATATTGATGTCAAACTAACCAGCAGCTATGAAAAATTAGTCAAGGGTTAGGAGTTGAGTGTTTACACCCACAATGTCTCAACTACTACTGTCCTTTGCTGTCTGCAGCCAGTTCTTGGATGGCAGTTACCCTTAATACTCAGAGATACAACCTTAAAGTATAAATAAAACCACCCTAAAAATTTTACAAGGTAAAACTCTCAACCTCCATCCTTTTATTTTCAAAATAATGTTAACTCTTTCAACCCGGGCTCAGTCCATGGAACCGATCTCGTAACCATTTTGTGCTTGTTATAGTTGTCGTGCTTTAACTTTTAAATTAATAAGCAAATGTTAACGAAATTTGGCAGTTTATCAGTAAAAATTACAGTGCTTTCATATGCAAAATATCTAATTTTTTTATTAAGTTTTAAGGTTTGTAAAACAATGTTTCTCTCATGCCTTTTTTTTTCTTTTCACATCTTGCCTATCTATCATGCAAAGTAATTTTCGTTTTAATATTAAAAATACTTTTATGCATCAGAAAATTTTGAAATATCACATGTGAAATCTTTATAATGTCCATATAGTTATCAAACATTTCTTAAGAAAAATCTTTACATTTTATCTGTTATTTTCAGTAATTAATTTCAGTACAGGTTCGGTAAATTTGACCGATCTCGCAACCACCATAAAAAATTAGAAAATAAACATAAATTATGCATTTTTCATTCTAGAATGAACACAAATTATAACATGAAAACATAAATGTTTAGATGAAATAGCTTAAATCTCATGACGGTATACAATAATAATATTTATTATTTTTTATTATATTGACCTTTCACCTGTGCCTGTCTTACGATACAGAAGTTACAACGACATGGCTCACATGCACTCATGTTACTATATTCAATAATATAAAACTGACAACAGTCTTTACAAAGTGACCTGTCTTGGCTGTGTTTTAGT